GGGAACTTAGATCCACGTCTTGGCCATGCTGGAGTTGTGGGGAGAGAAGTGACAGCCGAAGTTCGCCTTTTACAAATTAAAGAGCTCTCTGGGAGCAAGCAAGTGGCCCAGGTTCAGAGCTCTCTCTCATCACAGGGCAAAGCAGTGGGCATTACAGGAGAGGGAGGAATGGGCCTGCCAATCTAGCCTTTCCTGCTGATGTGAGTGTGTCCTTGGGGATCCCTCCAGTAACCTCCCCTCACTGCCTCTTGGCATCTTCAGATTGTACAGCACCCAGACCCAATCCGGTGCTCCCTGGGTCTTGGTATTCAGGGTATTATTTTAGTTTTGAAGGTGTCTTCTCTAAGGTTGGTCAGATGATTACCAAATTTACTTAAATATTTCACATCACATAAGGAGTAGGGGAAAGCAGTGTGTCCTAAAATGAAAGGGAAGGCTGGTTGTTGTGGATTAGTAGCAGCTCAGGAAGGCCAGGGAGTGAGATACCTCCAGTGCCGTCTGATGTGGGAACCAAAGGGGAGAAGACTACTGGCAAAAACGGGTGGGACTTCACACCCCGGCTCCTGCACACGCGGGCTGGCAACACGCCAAGTCTGAGCCCATCTTAAGTCTCTGTCATGAAAACCAATGTGACTTCACGCCTCTGCATCTTGGTTGTAGTTTGCTCACTAGATAAAGCCCAGACTCCTCCGACTCAGGTCCTCCATCCTCTGACTGCTCTGGAGGTCAGCGCTGACTTCACAGTAACCTACCACCAATATCGCTATATACTGTCCATACTCATTGTTCCTGGATTCTGTATTTGACAATTCACCTAATCACGCAAAGTTATTGGTAATCCCCAAATCAATACCCACAGTGATTTTCTGGTCATATGTGGACATGCACAGAATGTGGGAAAATCCAAGTCATTGACGTGCATGCACGTGCCCAACCAGGGGGGGACAATGTGACGCTGTGCCTTCTAGTTTCACTCTCACACCGTACACATGTGATGTTTTTATGGTGTATTTAGTGCCATGTTTTTCACATTGTTGTGCTTTTGGTGGTGATTTCACTGTTTTAATAGCCCTCAAGTGTAGCACTAAAGTGCAGTCCAGTGGTCCCAAGGCAGGAAAGCTGGGTGCACCTGGCAGAGGAAATGCGTGTGCTGGATGAGCTTCGTTCAGTCCTGAGCTGCAGTGCTGTTGGTCGTGAGTTCAATGTTAACTCGTGTAAGTAAACAATATGGTACATCCAGGAACAGGAAGAGGAAATTTACTAATCTGTATACGAGGCAGCTCCTGAAAGTGCTAAAGTGACATCTATAGTGGCTGTTGAAGCTATGGAAAAGATGGAAAAGCAGCTAAGTCTGTGCATTCACGAGATGACAACTGATAAAAAGTAAGTGTAGTAAAAAGAGCATCACTGTGAGGCTGAACGCCCAAGAAATGTACAGTCACATTACCCAGGGTCAGGAAAATATAAAACCTTTCTTGGCTAGGGTTTATTACAAAGGAATATGCTGATAACTAATGTATAAGAAATATACATTAAGTAAAGTGTCTTTATACAGAAACACAATACAACAGGTTATGTATTGATAGGTTGATAAAAATGTTGTGATCAGAGGCTCACAGGAACCTAACCTTGTATGTTCCCTAGGAGCAATCGTTCAGCATTTGCTAATTTAGTGTTCACAATGACTTTATTGAACAGAACTACCACGGATAATGAGAAGCAACTGTCTGTCACTGTTTCTGCTCCACACTGTCTTCTTTGAATCGGCACCTCTTCCTGCCAGTGTCCCACCCTACGCAGTGTTGAGTGAACGTGTGCTGAATGAATAAGCGTCTCACACAGGCAGTCTTGCTTGGGAGCTCCAGTACTACTTGGAATTTTGAGCCTTAGCTGTGCATGAGGAGGATGTGGGGTAGGAGTCACCTAGGTGGCCTTATGAAGGGATCATCAGAATGAAAGTAAACACTGTCTTTTTTTTTTTTTTCCCCCTTTTTTTGTCTTTTTTTCGTGTCCGGCAACGGATTGCAACCCTCAGTGTCGCGCCCGT